TCACTGCTTCACTCCTCCTCTTTGGACTTGAGAAATCTAATGTGGGTTACACCTGGATGATACAAAACTTTCAAAATGTTCAAGACAGATCAAAGGCCTGATAATTATTAGAATTTGGGGGAAGGTCTCCTGCACTTGTCTGTGGTTGCCCTGACTGCTAGTGTCAAAATTAAGGCCACCTTCATTCTGAATGAGAGCGTCCACACAGGGGTTTGAGCTGCTGGGATTTATGTGCATTAACTTCAGACCTTTAGTGTCAGACCATCGCAGACAAGCCCTCAAAGAGTAAAGGGAATAAGGGAAATTAAGGCGAGGGGGTGGAATCTCCTGCTAATTCCTTTAGTTTTAAATGCTTCAACTGGTTTTCCATGATGCCCTCACAAACGGGCGCAGACATTCAAACGCAGCACCTGGCAAAGGAGCAGGAGTAGTAGCTACACAATCAGTATCAGAGTTTTCAGCCCATGAACAATAATGGGTCATTTAACATCCGAGTCAGCAGTATAGTCTGTGTCTATAAGAAAATGGGTGTTTTTCCCAGGGGGGAACTAATCTGCATTAGCTATCCCAGTGTGAAAACATAAAAGACGTAAAATACTTTCGTTTCACCAAAATGTAAACTAGGTGAAGTCAGCACAGTGTCCTCCTGCCTGACCAATGCAAAGGAGAAACGGAACAGTTAGTTTTAAAAAATCTTTGACTTTGGCCGTACAAATCAGTACATGTGTCAGAATGAAGAACATCCCTGAAATGTATCACAACAAAAAACGTAGCACCCATAAAAGGCTGTGAACTTAAAATAGGCCATTAGAAGTATAAGAAAATGCGATAGAAAATCAACATCAATGCATACAATAAATCACATCATAAAAAAGTAAAATGTGCATTTCAGTGTGTGCAGAATGGGGGGTTACTTACAGAAAAAAGGTTTTTAAATCAACTGTCAACTGCAAGTGGTGGTGGGGAATCACATGTTCTGGGAAGTGCAAAATGGCATCGTATGTTACAGGATTGTACGGCCATTCTAGGTATATGGACCCTTTGGAAGGGGTAGCAGCAAAAGTATGAAGTGAGGGCGCTCTTAAGGCTGAGACAGAAAAAGATAAATAAAAGAAAAAGAAACTTTATTTTTTTATTTAAATTCTAGACTTTTGGGTGCATAACTCATGGGGTTTGAATTCTTGGGGTTGTATATCTATGCTTTGTAAAAAAATACCCTAGAAATGTCCTTTTTAGAAGCAATTCATACAAGACACTCTAAGGCCCCTAG